TTCAAGCAATCATCTGGATACATTCAGTTACCGGATTAAAGTCGGTGCTTTCGCATCCGAATCCTATAGTAACATAGTAAAATAGTTACAAATATCTATGGTTTAGAAAAAATACCCCTCTCTGTCTTATTAGAGATATGTTTGCCAGAAGCTAAAGGAAGCAAGGTGAATAGTCAGTGTAGGACCAACCTAAAATGTTTGCCTTGACGTGGCAGGTGGGCATTACCTCTAATGGCCATTGGAGTAAGTAAATAACTTCCATTTGTTTAACTATGCATAGGGATTTGGGAAGAGAGCAGGTAACTTTTTTTTCTTTGGTTTTTACTGTATGTATTGAGGCTGATGTGTACTGTGGCCGTTGCGGCCGCCCAAGAGTAGTGGGAGTTGGAGAAAAGGAATTGTTTTTGTGTATTTATAGTTACAAATAGTTTTAAAAAAAAACCTCAGCGGAGCAAAGGTTAATTATGTGGCAGCTGGCCAGTGTTTGCTACACAGCCGCCACATTAAACAGTTTTAAAAAAAACTTAAATAAATAAAAAGCCTATGGGGGGTCATTAAGACTCTTATTACCATATGGTAGGAAACGTCTATAGGCATGGCAGGTGGGGACATATCTACTAAACTTCCTGGCAATTTTTTAAGTTGACACTGAAAGCCCTCCAGTGGTCTGGATAATAAAGAGTTCCATGGGTCCAGGTTGAATGATCTCTAAAACACATCTGTTAAAACAACATAAGTAAAAATAAAACCTTTATTTCTGAGTATATTTAAATTTTAAAGGCAACTCTTTTAAATGTATAGAACACTGATGATGGTGAACCAATTACACTGTTTAATAAACCTTCAATGAGTCCTATATGTTGTGTGGAATCACCTCCATGGTGCTGGATCTGATCCAACATATCCCCGTACCCAGACCAGAATGTTGTGACAAGGGAAATGCACAGCACTGATTTCATATTGATACAGTGAGTCTTTACAAGAAGGAATTAAAGTTCAACATATTATTGGAAAAATAAATAAAATAGCCTGACACCTTTTGATTTCTGTAAAATGAAAGTATATGATATGTCCAAATATGGAAAAATACAAAGTATATACACGAGAAGTCACTTCCAAGATTTCCTTTAAAGGAACACACACATTTCATTATATAAATATAGAGAATGCTTTATATAATGTAAGTCGTTAGTTTATTTAAGAAGAAATGACATCGTGTATATCCTATTACCTACCACGGATCCTCTAAGCAGTGGCCTCACCCTAACTAAGCCTGACATGTCATCCGGTCAGACAGACAGAGAGAGAGCCTCATTTTTGGCTGTTGTTTCATGGGAGTGTGCCTGGATCAATTGCTTATTTCTTTATAATGAACAAGAGCCCTCATGCACAGTCTGTTTAGGCTTTAAAAGAAGTGTCAGAGCCTACATGCTGGTAACAGTGTGGAGCATTAGCCAGAAACCACAGAATAAGGGTCCTTTAATGGGTTGTCAGAACAAGCCTCGTAATGCAAACATCTACGTTACAGGCATTTCAATACATGTATTATTTATAATGTAAAGTGTTATTGACAATTTCATTTGAAATATAAAGGAGAAAGCATCAACTAATGACTTGAAAGAAAAATATTCGTCCAGAGTCACACGGATACAAACATTACAGCATTCCCATGTAGAGCATTTGCATGTATTTTCTAATGACAAACAAACATTTCTTTGTCATTCATAAAGTGCCTATTTAATGTCCATTTAAAGTATGTGTTCAAATTAAAGGGCTGTTTAATTTAATTTGAACTCCAAGCATCTTACAATTGGCATAGTTATATAAGGCTGGAAAAGATCCAAATATATCAGGTTCAGACGTTTAGAGATCTCTACTAGTCCTATTTATCTGAATAAACCGATCTGGCCACAATGTGGGGGAAAAGTTCTTCTTTACTCCAAAGTGAATCAGATTTCTTCTTGGATCAACAAGCTGTTACCCCAAATTATAATGAGGTTGCTTAACCCCTTAAGGACACATGACATGTGTGACATGTCATGATTCCATTTTATTCCAGAAGTTTCATCCTCAAGGGGTTAAAGGAACACTATAGTCAACAGAACCCTGTGGCTTAATGTAGTTGTTCTGGTGTCTATTGCATGTTCCTGCAGACTTTTCAATGTAAGCACTGCCTCCATATAGAAATGCATTGATTCGATCCATCTCTATGAGGAGATGCTGATTGGTGCAGCACAGTGTTTTGCAGCACATGTGTAATAACCCCCCAATGTTTTCCTATGGGAAAGCATTGGATTGGCTGAGATCATCAATACTGGTTAACTCAGCCATGGAGGCAAGGCCAGTTATGGTGAAACCAGCACGACAAGCGAGACTATAGTGTTAGGAATTCATGTTTGTATTCCTAACACTATAGTGTTCCTTTAAGGGACACTGATGGTAAGCCACTGATGTAGAGGAATGGCAAGCCAATGATCTAGGGGAATGGGTATAAAAAAAGGAAGAACAATGTATCAATGAAGCATTGAGAGCACCAATAGAATATCCACCGGTTTTCATGGTTATTGCCCCACTTTTAGTACTTGTGAAACACTTTGATAAATCTGCCCTCTGACTATGATTTCCAGCAGAAAATCAGTACTTTTCCAAATAAGAAAGTAATCTACTGAATGAGGTATAACTAAAGTGACACTGTAGTCACCAGACTATTACCTATGGGAAACCATTGTGATTGGCTGAGATAATCAGGAGGCAGGCAGGGGCTGGATCAGCGAGGGTAGACCCATGTGGCACTGGACATAAGGTGAGTGCTCTTGTTATTTAACGGGGCAAGGAATTCTAAATGGTGTTTTTGACACTAGAGGGTCAGGAATACACATTTGTGTTCCGGATTCTATAGAGTTCCTAAAATATTAGTAGTAGTATAATTAGCATTGGTAAAATGATACATTTGTGCAACTATTCATGTCACTCAAAGTCCAGAGAGGCTATATGTTACTGAATTGTCGGACACACATTTTCGAATTGTTTTGCAGTTTCACATTTTCAAATTCAATTTGGACATTTAGGATTACGACTAGAAGACAAAGGGGAGAACCTTAAAAATCTTGCTTTGGGGTTGGGATTCCACCATATCCCCAATATCCACAGAAGTTAGGGGCTATATGATTACACCCTGGCACTCTCAGAACACGGGTTACAGTTCAGCTGCAATATATACAGTGGATATAAAAAGTACTTATATTACTAATTCTAAATGTTAGTCTTGATATAAGTATTGCAGTTTCTTTTATTGGGCTAACAGAATTTTATAATGACATGCTTTCAGGACTTCCTCCCTTTAAACACACAACACACAGACTTGTGTATTGGTTTCTCTCCCCTCCCTAACTTACTATCTCTTCATCTAACTTGTGTTTTCTTTTCCCAGTTCTCCAATCCCACGGCTGATTTACAATGCCCTGGAGTGTTTTTTTGTTTTTGTTTTTTTTAATGTTTGTTTCACTGTGATCAAAAATGCTTTTAGACTTGATTTGTCACTGCAAATCTCTGCTAGTCCATTAAAAGAGGCATTACAATAAACTGATTTTTTTTATTTATTACTTTGCATCTAAATATTGCTAGACCCCCACTGGCCAGCGCTTTGGGTAAGAGAACCATCAAATCGCTCCAAAATGTATCATGCACAGTTTAACCCATTACACAAAATGTCTAATCAGTTCTTCTTAAATATGCTTTGTAGTAATGTCTGCAGTGCTCTCGAACAATGTCTGTATTCCAGAAAATGCTCATTGGATTAGGTGACTTCCTGCCATGCAGACTCCATTTACATCCTGGCAATAACAACGCTAACCTTAATGGATTACTGGTATTTTTACACATCAGTCTGTGGTTCTTGGACCAATCAATATTTGTTTTACAAAGACATGAAAATAGATTTCTTGTTAATGATTAATTTGTTAAACAGTTACGGCATCAGAGAAAAAAAATCCGTACCTTGTACTTTCTCTAGAATTCTCGAGCATGAAATGGGGAAATTGATAGGAAAATGGGCTTCCTTCACTATATCTGTAACTTAGAAACACAGGGTTATAAAAATAAGGTTTAGATCTAACAGAATGGGATCTGATGGATGTTTTTCAATTAAGTAACAGCAGACAAATTATGAGATTTGCTTAAATCAAACAGAGAATAACCAGTCCATAAAATACTGGTACCCTAAGGAAGATCAGTGGTTAGATTTCCAAATGCAGCCTTTCAACAGGTATATAAAATGAGCACATTTGGGGGGGCGGAGCCAAGCTAGCAACCGGATTAGATGCACTCGGCATGGGCTCCCGCAGTTAGAGCCCTAATGCACCAGATAACTTGGGATATAACGATGCAACTTACCTATAAACTGGCCCACGGGAACGGGGAAGCAGTCCCGAACATGCCAACACCACATTTGACACCCGGCGCGACCGGGACCAGCAGCTGCAGATTGAGGTCTACTGGCGGAGGCACGGGGGAAGGACGGCCGCCTTCCCGCCAAATGCTAAAAGCCACAAACGAGCACAAACCGCTCACCCCCCCATGGACCGGTGGGGGATATCCCGGTCCCCGCCAGGTGGAGAGCCCAGGGCCCCACACTGAACGACAGGCTCAGCAACTCTAAGCAATAAGGAGCCGCAGGCCTCCAAGATGGTGGACTTTCTGGTCCTGACAGTGCCAGATAAAAGACAGCGTCATGGTGAAGAAGCAGGCACAGGGGAATATGCAAGAGACCCTCTCACATCAATATTTGACTGATTCTGGGCCAGACTGCAGGCGCACTTATACCCTGAGGTGCCTCACCACCCACAGCCCAAACGAGACAGAGCCGACGGTAGTCAAGGCAAATATAAGCCCTACGCTACAGGCTCCAGCATCCATGGCCCTCCTGGACGAAGGGCAGTAGGGGACACACCCCAAAGGTGCCAGCCACACCGGCAGAACAATGAAGCGACTCCTCACACAGAATGGGAAGACTCTCCGCTCCACCCCGAAAGGGTCGACCCCTGGACCACAACGGTTCCCAGGCTCGTGGCCTACGAGCACCGACCCCCACACAGTTCCGGGGCAGGAGAGAAAACCCACCTATGAGACACCACGGCTTTACTCAGCAGAAGCGGACTCCCAGGGTGAACCACAAACATGGAAATAAACAGATGACAAGCGATCATCGGGCAGGCGGCGACACGGCTGTACTCCAGGAACGAGCACTCTGCTGCAGACCGCGCCTGCCTGGTCGTCCAACTCCACGGACGGCACCTACAGGGGAGCACTGGTCAGACAGCGCTGCTAATGAGGGTGCTCGACTCGACTGGGGACCGGTACTTGTCACAGAACAGCGGGAGAACACGTGGAGACACCACACTGGGCCAAAGAATGGACTATAAAGCAAAGCACACCAGTGGTATCGGGTGAAGGGTTGCAGTTACCTTCGTTCCAGCTGCCAGCCTGGTCTAGATGCAGGACTTGATGCATACCCATTCTGTCATAAGCTGTTGAAAGCCTATTGGTACAAACGTTTTATTTTGAGTTACTCTAAGTTGCCAGTTTCAGAAGCCAGCGGCCACACATACATGTATACCCTGGTACTGCCCTTTACTCAGTCTTAAAATTGCCTTCCCATTACATTCAAATGACCAAGCTTGCAATGCGCTTACAGCTCCCTTTATTTCACTCCTCTAATTACACACACTTTAATACAAGCATACCTGTCCGAACTTATAATCAGCCTGACACAAATGTACTGCTGTATGCACCTTTAGCCACCAATGTTACCCTCCCGCGTGATGCTCATTACCTATGTATCACACTATTAAGTACAATCTTGAGCCAGTAAACACCACACTGTACTGTCGGGATACAACAGAACCCACTACGCAAAGCCAAGACTAATCATTATTTGTACCCATATCATTAAGTTTACACATGATCATCATCTTAACTACTAAAAATGTGCACGTACTCTTGTATACCCCACTGCTATATTTGTTGAAAGTCAATGTGAGGAATGCCGTTGGGGTACCTCACACTTGTTGTTATATTTTTTATGCACAGCAAAAAAATAAAAAAAATAAAAATTTGCACATTTGGGTAATACAAAAATTAAATTCCAAGATACTTCGAAAATAGTGTAAGTTAAATTTACCATTGCTAGAATAATTCACTAAACTGATATTATTATTACTATTATTATTATAACTTTTAGAGTAGCACCAGCTGATATTCCCTATAAGAAGATACAGATTACGGTACAGGGCAAATTCAGACCAGATCCATTTTCGGTTGAGCACCTCATCCACTATAGGTGCCCCTTTAGAGGTGATTATAAATTTGAGGAGTTAACAGAAGTAATTTAACATACTAACTGCAATACTTACTGCTTAATCTCCTACGTGCAAATTAGTGTAGAACCCACCAATATTGTGACATGGTGGTGGGCTGATCTAGGCATATGCAGCGGTGTATTTTACATTTGTGCTGCCCTAGGTATAATGGAACTCAGATCTGAATTTGCCCCACTCCTTTCCATTACACCTCTTCCTATTGAAGATTAACACTCACAGACACACACTCACTTACAGACACAAACAATCACTCAGACACACACACACACACTGACAGACACCATCCACATTTATGACAGACATACACAGATTCCCTGACAGACTCACTCACAGACACACACAATCAATCAGACACGCACACATTCCCTGACAGACACACACTGACAGATATGCACACACACTCACAGACACACACACTCACTCATAGACACACACTGACAGATAAACATTCACTAACAGACACAGTGACAGATATACACACACATTCACTGACAGACACACACTGACAGACACAAACATTCATTAACAGACACACTGACAGATATACACACACATTCAGTGACAGACACACACTGACAGACACAAACGTTCATTAACAGACACACTGACAGGTATACACACACACGCATTCACTGACAGACACACACACACACACACACATTCACTAGCTGACAGACACGCACACACACACATTTTCACCCACCACTCACAAATTATTTTATTTTTATTTAATATAAATCCAGCCAGCCTACCTACCTTTGGTAGAGAGGGTGGATTTTTTTTTTTTTACCTGGGGTCCAGTGGGGCTGCTGGGCTGGCTGTTGGCCAGGGTGTTTGGGCTGCTGGGCAGGCAGACGGGCAGCCGCACTAACTGTCAACAAGGAAGCTGTTAGCTCTCCCTGTTCAGCTCCCTCGCGCGCCTCTGTCAAATTCCGGCTCCCAGCATCAATCGCCACCCTTCTTGGACCGAAGCTGCCATTCCCCCGGGGGGGGCCCAAACGTGGCTAGTCGGCCATCTCTTGGGCCCCCATAAAACAAGGCTGACAAGGTGTTTGCCTGGGCATTTGTAAAGGCTGCCCCCTGGAAAATGCCACCCAAGGCAAATGCCTTGTCAGCCTTGCTGTAAATACAGCCCAGGGCACATGTTGTAACTCCCATTCCCATTGAATTTTTTACATTTAAAACTGTTTGTGGTGTTCCTTAATCCATATGTTGGATACATCTTTTGGTCTCTACTGCTGCACCACGGCCAGTGGTTATCCTGGTTTTGTGCTGCCCAAGGCATGACAAAACTCAGATGCCCCTCTCCCCCTTCTCCCCTGCCCCACCTTCTAAATACACAGACATGTACTAGCTAACAGACATAAACACTCACTAACAGACACATACAGTCACTAGCAGACAAACTCATTCACTAACAGACACACACTTACTCACTAATAGACACACACACTCACACTAACACACACTCACATTAAACTCACTTTTTTAAATTTATTTTTAATTCATCACCCCCAGCCTCCTTACCTTTGGGAATGCTGGGGGGGGGGGTTCTCCTTTTCCCTGGGGTCCAGTGGGGCTGCTGGGCAGGCGGCACTGGTGAGGGAGCACTGATTAGTGAGTTCTCTGCTCAGCTCCCTTGAGCGTTGCAAAGTGATGCCGGAAGCCGGAACATGACATCATATTCCGGCTCCCGGCAGCACTCTGCAGCGCACGAGGGAGCTGAGCAGAGAGCTCCCTCGCCAGCACCGCCAGCCCGCCCGCCTTGATTGTCAGTTAGCCGCTAGGCTAACAAGACATTTGCCCTGGGCATTTGGGGGCGGCTTTTTTTGGAAAATACCAACCCAAAGGCAAATGCCTTGTTTGCCTCGCGGCTAATATGTCCCTGACCACGGCTGAGAAAAGGATGTTCTTGTGTGCCCAAAACCCAATTTTGCCTTTAAGATGAATGCTGAGTAAGTAAAACGCATCCATTTAATTTCATACTAGAATTAAAATTGGGTTAAAAAGGGATATTTATGTTTTAATGCAATAACACATTCAGAGTTTAACGCTCCTGACACAATTTTCTTTATAAGCTTCCAGTCAATGAAAAGGTTAAAGATTTTTATTGTTTATGTGGCTGTATCACTCAGCCTCCTTACATTGTATTCTATTGTGAGGACACAGCTGATGCTGTTTGTACCTGACAAGATCTGTGGATATTGATTCTTCCAGAAACTCAAACCAGATTGCTTCTTCTTAGCAAAGGAATGCTCAGAAACTGCCAAATCCTTTCTTCCCAAAATTACGTCATCACCAACAGTTAAATCCTGTTAGTGCATAAACCAGGCCATGAGAATTAACAGGTCAAAACACATGAACATATAAATTACTAAGATACAGACACAGTCCTCTTTCCATTGTTAATGAGGCCCATCGTCCGTTGAGTTGTACACTTGCAATGTAAAGAAATAGGCAAATGTATCACAAATTTTTTTTAAATACACTACAGGCACCCAAACCACTTCATCTCCTTGGAGCGGTCTGGGTGCACTTTCCCTGTCCACTTAACTCTACATTACAGGGTTAATACTGCCATTAGTGGCTGTCTACCAGAAAGTTACTAGAGGCACTTCCTGCTGTTGCATGAAAGGTAACTCCATGAAATGACGCTGGAAGCCCTCACGATTTGCATGAGGACATCCTCAATACCTTCATAAAATATACTGTATATTTTAAGTCAGGTTTGTGGTTTGTTTATTGCCCCTTCTAAAACAGAGCTTTCCACAACCCCTGCCCCTCCTCAGGAACTGTCCCGGCAACCTGAGATTAAAGATATACTATAGTGCCAGAAATACAAAAAGGTATATTCCTGGCACTATAGCTCCCTCTGACTCCCTTGTGCCACCCCCTGCCCAGGTAAATAAAGGGTTAAAAACACTTTATCTACTTACCTTTTTCCAGCATCAATGTTCCTCGACGCTGGGCCGTTGCTCTGCCCCCTACGATGGCCGGTGATGGCCAGTGCTAATGCGCATGACTAGCATTGAACCAATGCTTTCCTATGGGGAAAAAATCTGACGATGGGTGTCCTCATGCAGAGCGTGAGGACGTTCAGCGTCAAATACCGGACCAAAGGTCCGTTTCAATTCAGGAGGCCCTCTAGTGGCTGTCTGGTAGACAGTCATTGTGGACAGACTTAGAGTTGCAATGTAAACATTGCAGTTTCTCTGGAATTGCAATGTTTAATATTGCAACACTAAGTGCAAAAGGGACACTGCACCCAGACCACTGCAACTAGCTGGCGTGGTCTGGGTGCCTACAGTGTTCCTTTAACAAAAAGTGTGTGTAACATCTAATGGAACACCAGTTCTAGGTGCAAGGAATTGAGTCTTGTAATGTGTCCTCTTTATTACAATCAGAGGCAATGCTACAGTATGTCTTGATTAGCTCTAGATATTGTTTAAATAATCTAGTCCCCATGAAGACCAGCTTTCCTACTGGACTCTTTCCAAGTTACTGATTTTTGATACTTGCCTGTACTTGTGTACCATTCACCACTGTCCATCAATGTTCTAGTTTCTCCACCTCTTCACAGTGACTACCTCCTAGGTAGAGTATCTTATTCCAGGCTTTGTCTAGTAGTTCCATGTAGGTTCTAGAACAAGCAGCAACAGGAATCAAACCTTTGATATTTAATTCCATACAATATTTGTTAGGCAATCTAGCAATATTTGTATTCTGTTTTTTTTTTTATGTAAAAGAATATCTGCACAATTTCTAGTCTCTGCATGAAAAATTTATTTTTCTTATTAAACAACCAATAAAGATAAAGGACTAGCTCCATAGATAAAGGAAACTTTAATTACGGAGTACAAGCACTTCAAAGATAGCAAAAGAGCCACTTAGCTGCCTCATCAGTTATTACTGTAGGATACAGCTAATACTAAATCTGTCTGCCTTTGTATATTTTGAACTTTTGTGATTTTCTGAAGGGGAAATATCAATTATTTTAAATGTACACAATAGAATAAAACACTGAAAATTACTACTCCATACTC